CAATCCAGTTCTCCCCCTCCTTTCGCGTCGCTAAAACAAAAGCTCTTTCGGCGGGGGGGGGGGGTGTAATTAATTGCCAAAAGACATTCCCTTGGGTCTCGCGTCAATGTACAGTGTATAATACATGTAACCACCAGCGGACCGAGCGGACCGTATTGTAATAGCTGCTTCTCTCTCTGGCTCTCATCGTTAGATAATACGTGATGCATACACATACGAAGCCGAGAGAGCTGCTACTAGATGCTTCCTACCTCCTTCTCGCGCCAAATGCCGTGGTGTCGTATAACTGTATATATACACACAACTGCCGGTGCTGTGTTGCTGGTGTATACATATACGTGTATACTGGCGGTGGTGTCAACGTAACCATTTATATAAATCCGCAGTTGCGTAACTCGAATGTGCCAGCCGGCGTGTACCTCATAAGTGTATATACGTACATACATATACCCTACCACGCGTGTACTGTACGCGATGCTCCGGCTCATTCCATCGTCGTCGTTTTATTCTCGATCGCAAACGCCAGATAGGAAGATGTATAGATTTCCCCCTCTCTCTGTTTGCGTACAATGAGATGGATAAAATATATGTACCTATATACTCCTCTTCTCTGTGTGTACCTACTTTCGGTGTTGATATACATATTGTGCACATAACACTGGAGGCCGCAGGAAAGGTATCGTAAGTCGCGGAGTGTAAAACGTTTGCACGACCACGTACATTGATTTGGTACTTTTGGGGGTGTAACGGTGTACGGGAGTGCGAAAATCTTGTAGCATTGATGGTTTTTTTTTTTTTTTATCCGAAGGCTGATCAAAACTGATTAAACTAGAGGCCCTCCTCTACACGCTCAACACGCATTTATAGGTCGTTTTACAAAAATATATTATCATTTGAAGCATGTTTTTTTTTGCAATTTACCGGGTGGTTAATCGCCTCGTTGCGCAAAGTGAAAAAACGTGCAAAAAAAAAGCAAAACATTTTTCGCAAAATATTGTTGTACGCGCGTCGCACGAGGATATGCTTGTACATTTATCCGAAACACGTGCGCGAGCGGCACACGTTGGTTTACATAATCTTAGCCTTAGATAACGATTTTCGTTTCTAGGTGGAATAATTGTTGAGCAAAATATTGGCTCCGGCCCTACGGAGCTTAACGGCTTCAATTCTAGTCCACCTCTCTGCCTACTTCTTTGTGGTAAATATAATTGTATAAGGTTCCTATAGTGTTTCGTTTGTAAAGCTAAAATTAAAGGAATTCCACCCTCTATGACATTTCTGGGAACAGCAAGGGATATTTTTTAATCAATCCTTTGGGCAGGACTTACGTGATGTTAATGGGGATGAATTATTATCGAGCCGAAATGCGCTGCGTTAAGTATTTTGGTGAATTTTGCTGTCCGATCTCGATGGGAGCAGGAGCACTCGGTGTCGTCGGAGCGGGAATATCGTTACGTTAGATGCAAAGCGCGCGGGGTGTACATAACATCGCGATACTTCGGCTTTATGTAACGAGCCGTGCTTTTAAAAAAAGTTTCATACCTATACGTTTATTTTTTGCGTTTCTCAACAATGAATTTCGGCAAAGGTGCGTTGAGCAACTTTTCGTACTCGTGTACTGTGTCCTTTACTTATTTTTTTCTTTTCAATTCTTATTTTATTTTTTTCATCCTTGCGTATCGTGCAGAGGACGTATTGCGAAGTACTACCCATAAAATTTGATTGAATCAAAGAGCAAAGAGACTGAAAAAAATTACGTATGAGTCGAATGAAGGAAAACACAAGAAACAATGGATATTGAGAGCAAAAAAACATGCATGATCAATTATAGACAATAATCGGGAGGGTGAAATTATGACATTTGAAAAATTAGATGGAAAAAAGAAAACGTTTGCTAGAAAGGGAGAATGAAATGAGGAAAAAAAAAAGAGTTGCTGTTCCAAGTGTCGATAAATATTGACGCGTTCGAAGCTCGGCGGGGGAAAATGCACTCGATTGCGAAATCACCAAAGAATTCAAAGCAATTGAAAAACCAGCATGACTAGAAAATAATATAACGAATCAACGGCTAGGAATGACAATGCCCATGTTGTCATTCACAAAAATGCGTGGTGAGCAAGTGGTCAAAGAGAGTATACGGTGTCGAGGAGGTATATATATGGGAGCGGGGGAGGCTCATCTGTAACAACTTTTCGGGCCATGTGGACCGAAACTCGGACAAACTCGCGCGGGACGCACGGAAAGCAAAAGCAGCAGAAGAGATGGTGGCGTCCGGCCAGGGAACGTGCAAAGTTTACATAACAGAGACGAAGACGACTCGGGCCAAAGAGAGAAGAACAACCGGTGGCGTTCGAGTTTGACAGTGAACGCCTGCCGCGAGCACGTGACTCGTCATATACTATACACACACACATACACAACAATACACCACACACCACCTTTGTCTTATCTCCCTCCCTTGTATATATATGCACACGCCTCTCTTTCTCTCTTTTTTGCTCCGCGATTCTGCGCGCGACGCCGTAGAGTTACGTATGGATTATCGCGCTCTCTTCCCGCGCTAGAGATTCTTCTTCTTCTTCTTCTTGTTTACGTAAGACCCTATAATATACCGGTGCCGACTCCGGGGAGCAGACCACGGATCGGATCATTTTATTTTTTCTTCCATCCCCCCCGCCTCTCGACCGGGTCTTCCTCTCAAACCACCAAATTCCTCCTTTTTCAATCGAGTATAGGTATGCCTGCTCCGAGCGGGTAAGATCATTGCATAATGAGCTCGAGCACACGCGCGTGCGGACGCCTGTCGTTGGCTCGGTCAATTGATCGATTGCAATCGTCAATGTATATATACACGCACGTGGGCTCTCGTCTCATCTTATTCAAATTGACGCGCTGTATATGTGTAGAGCTTCAACGGGGCAAAAGTATACGTCGAGGATGCACGTGTGCGTATGGCGGTGCGCCGCGCAACCTTCCAGCTGCTCCGATTTCGCGAGAGCGACAAAGTAGGCCGAGAGGCTATACGGAGCAGCTGACGGGCCGGAGAGCGACGAGTGACCGAAGCGCGCGCAGATAGACCAGTAGCTTCTTTAGCTCGCCATCACCTCGAACCGCATGAATGAAATACTCGCGCGGCAGGCCTGTACATATACATACCATGGGACACGTATCATCATCAATTATTTTCTCCTTCGCGAGATATCCTGAGATGGGGAAGTTTGGCCAAAGCATCTGCCAAAATAAGCTCCGGTTGTACAAACGCCACAAGCTGTATAGCGGACAAGAGGAGGTGGCCGATGCGACGCACCTGCCCAACGTGCAAAAAAGGTCGGTGATAAAAAAGATCCCGTCGAGGGGCGCCGGCCGATGTCTTTTATCGATTACATAAGGCGCCTGCCGGCCCGATGTTTCGCGTTTGTCGCGCCGAGAGCTAAATCTGATGATGCCGGCCGTACACATGCATTGCACAACGCGGCATTTCCGCGATGATGCGCTCGCGAGTCTTGTTTTGCGCGAAACCAGGCTTTTTGCTATTCGTCCAAGATACGATACCCGTTGCGTACATATTATACATAGGTCCGCCAAACGGGAACGCGCGCGCGTGACATAACTCGTTTTTTTTTTTTTTTTTCTTTCTCTTTCTTTTTCTTTCCACACGCGACCCAATGACTGCAGGACGTATGCGTTGAAATGAGCACCGATTACTTGAGTTGCGTATTGATGTTCGGGTCGAGCGCGTTGTACGTACATGAAAATATATATGTATATGTTTTAGCGACGAGTCACAAGAACGTCCGATCAATACTCACGCGGGTGGGAGCGAGGCATCTATTAAACGTAGCAACGAATCAATTACCACGATGATGAGGGCGGATATGGTATTTTCGTTTGTGTCCCTACGCGATAACTCACTCTGTGTGCCGAAAGCTCCTTTTCTCGATTACGCCGATCGATCGGTCACGTGCGGCGTTACGTCACCGCTCGGGAGTAAAAACGCTACGTACACCGCCAATCGGACGAGAAAAACGTACGTGGCGCTCCAAATTCAACAAAACAAATGCACGCGCTTTGCCCCTTGGTTCGATCGACTAAAAATACCCCCCCTCTGAGTTTCGCAAGCCGTTTTTTTTTTCCCTCGTTTGTCGTAATAACTCGCGGGAGCACCGAAAAGAAGGGAACGAGGGGTGGAGAAAAAAGGCCCCGAGTCTACAGGTACGAGCGTGTGCAACCGATAGTAGTGTGGTGAGGCAACGGGCATTGAGCAACGCTCCCCTCCGCGCAATTACGAATTAGGCAATATGCGCGCTCTCGCCGAGTCCTTTCATCTCGTCGACCGTGCATATATATATATATATACACTCCGTCTCTGCTTATACGGCACACACGCTCGCGTGCGCGAAAACTCGAACCGGGGGCCAGCTCGATTCGTGGGCGAAAAACCGCACGGGTCACTGGAAATTTTCTTTTTTTTTCTCCCCCCACCCCCACCTGCTGTTTCCAAACTCGGCTGGCACGTGGGAATGTGAGAGGGAGATTTCCTACCAAGGGCGTGGTGTTAGAAACGCCCAAAGTAAGAAAAATAATCGTTTAGCCCTTAAATTATACATTTGCACAACTACGTTCCTATACCTTGCAAAACGATGATAATCGTATTGGGCAAAAAAAGCTTCTCCATCTTTGGGTCGCATCGACGAGACTCATCCCTTCGCCCAGTGTATATACATGCCAACTAGTAAAACCAAAGAGGCTAGGCGTGGGCGGGGGTACATACCGAGAATGGCGCCTTGGCCGTATGGTTACGTAAGGTTGTTGCCGCTGCTCCGTCGGATGGATACGGGTTGCTCGTACAGTGAAAATGCCGAGAGTGAGCGAGCAAGCGACCAATTTCACGTGTGTGTGCGCGAAAGATGTTTAATTCCAACGGCGGTGAGCGTGCCTTTGGTGCGCGTATAGGGGCGGCAAAGGAGCGACGAGTTAATTTTGGAACGCTGGAGCGGCCGAGAGGTGGGTGTGGGGGACTCTTTTTTTTTTTTTTTTTTTCCCTTTCTCGCTAAAGAACGTTGGCAGCGTTGCTTCGTCACTCGGGCATCGATCGGAGCTCTTTTTTCCGACAAATTGCGACCTAATCGAAGAATGATAGTTGCAGGTTTTGAAAGAGGGCCTACTTTGTTCGATACACAAAACAACGCGATTTCAGCCACCAAAAATTTTTCTCTTGTCGAATATTACTTAACATATCCCACTCCAGCAAAGAGGACACAAGTATACAACGCTGGAGCGCCTGATGAATAGCGCGGATATTAATAGGATCGACAGCGATGATACAGGCTATAGTTGGCGGGGTGTTGCTTAACTTTGCGTGATTCCGTAATGGTATAGGGCCGATCGTGAAACGACCAGAAAGTTTACTTACGGCGCGATTGGTCGGCGATGGTGTGAAAAACTTCAGTTCGTTTACTCACCTGAAACATAAAAGGAAAATGGTTTTTATGCACACGTGACTTGTTGTAAACTCACAAGTATACATTAAATGGCATATGAAAAGTGTATGGTGACAAAAGTAGGTGAACCATATATTGTACGGCATCAAGGTGCATTTTTCCCAGTGTAAAATTATTATTCGGTTGACTAATGGTTACATTCGCGTCCTTACATGGAAGCAAATCCACACGCTCGTCCACGGCCTCGTAGGCCTTACATGGGCCCACAATTTACGATTGACTCGTAGGTTGCCGCGACTCTTGCAAAAAAAAAAAGAAAATTGAGCGTGACAGTCTTCGGATCTAACGTGTACAGTTGTTGCATTATACGTTAATATTGTTCACGTAGGCTTATTTGTTTGATGGCTCCCTCGATCCACCATTAAAACCCAAACGTTTTACCAACACTTTTGAGTATAAAACAGCTCGAGTTGCAAAAGTGAAAATAAGCTGAGAGACACACGGAAAGGCAAACTACAGTGATTCACAAATTAGGTATTCGCAAACAAAAAAAAAAAAAAATTTCTCATCGCAACAGAGATGAATATGTAGTTATAACCAAGCGAATTTTACTGTGGATAAAAAGTGCATATGGGCTACAGGTTGCGCAACCTACGTCCCGCCAAAAACGTTATTCTCAAAACACCAGTACGTAACCCGATGGTGCCGAATAACCGATGTAAGTACAGGCAAAAAATTGATAATCAAGCTAAATTCGAAAAAGAAAGGAGCTTGCGTCGGTGATTTTTCATACTTTGGAAAATTCGGCACGTGCAAGCTTTGGGCGTACACGCGCTTTAAAAAAAAAAAAGGGGGGCGAGAGACAGAAAAGAGGCACACTTAGCCCACAGCAGTTCACCGTCGTCGTCTGGTGCACGTGTACTGCCTATACATACACACTCGCCGATGTATATAAGTACACACCACGTAAACGTATATAAACACTCGCCTTGACACGAATCGCGGAACGCGCAAGGCGGATTAATTTCGTGCGGTAATTACGTAACCAAAACGCGTGCGCGCCTCCGCGTCCTCCCCTCTGCCGCCGCGAATATTCGTGGGTACTTATAATATGGACCCTCGGACACCTCGCTACCGGCTGGGATGAATAGTACCCAATGGAGGGGGTGGCAGAAAAAGCTGCTTCTCCGTGTACGAGCTTGCGATTTCAATGCGCGAACTCGCGAGAGAAGGAGTTTAGTGAGATGCAGTTTGATTTTTCCTAGATCAAGGCAACGGAGGATTTTTCTGTATCGGACAAACGACGCATAAAGGAGAGGGCCTCTGCGGGAGGGTGGAGGGCCAGACTGCACCTAAAGCGAGTTACCGATCGTCACGTAACTGCAAGGCCCCGGAATATATGTATATGCATGAGTAATCGAAGATTGTAAAAAAAAAGGTTGGAGCATCGGGAGATGAAAAATCGCTTCCAAAAACGAATCGCGTACGCTCGGCCAAGTGAATCATCGCCGCGCGTGCGTGTATATGTACCCAAAGACGATTGATTGGGGGGGGGGGGGGGGCAAACATCTATACATGTTATGTTAATGGATACGCGAAAAAAAAAAAAAATGAAAAAATCTAAAGAACTTTGTTGTTGGTTATGTAAGGCATTTATCTCGTCTGGTGTATGTGTGTTTGCGGACGCTCCGTCAGCTGTTTTTTGAGATTAGGAGTCTGGTGCGCTGGGCTCTTCTAGTGTACGTTATGTAATTTTATGTAATGCTCGGATTAGTATCGGCACACTATCGACTTCTCGAGAGCGCCGATATGTGCGCCGCACACGCCTTTTTTTTTTTTTTTTTTTTTTCTCTCTCTCTCTGGAATGGACGAGGAATTTCTTTTACGCTTGTAAACGCGCTCCGTTGGATGTACTTATATCCACCGAAGGTGTAACTTGCGAGCAAAAGAAATTTTTTTTCACCTGCGTCCCTATGGTTGACCCTCGAATGATACCTTCGTCAACTATTAGGGGCAAATAAATCCTGTCAACACACATATACATGTATATACACCGAAAAGGGTATAAGTACACGCAAACTGTACATGCAGCGATTCACGCTTGATCCGATCGACGGAAATAACCGGCAAGTTTTACGATTTGAGTACGCGGCCGTGTGTGTATTCGTGGTCTCTTTTTTCCCCCTCGCGTCGAAAAAGAAGCACGGGATCGGAGTTTACGAGCACACGCGAGACTCTGCATGTACCGTAAATGTGGAAACGGTGGCAGCGAAACGTGACTTAACGTATACACAAACGAAGCTGTAAAAATATTTTCACTCTGGAAATTCGAGCTTTCCTGCCAATCGATGTAGGACCAATGGCGTAGTGGAGTACGATGTCGAAAAACAAGGGAGACCTGTACGGAACACTTGGGTAAATTTCATCCCTGCGGAAGGCAAAATAAAAAAAAATTTTTTTTGAATGTCTAAAATTGAACAATCAAATTTAAAATGGTGTACACCAAAGCTACAAGGATTTTTATACCAAGAGGATAGCCATAAGGATGAAAAAGCCCAAACACGTGTGCGCGAATAATCGTGACACACCAGATGGAAAGGGGGATGCTTTTGGCACGAGCCGAACACCTCTCGCTTGAGGACTCCATCGAAAGGTCAAGGTTGAATGCGTTTTAAAAACAAAAGAGCCGAGCTTGCATTCGGCTGATATTCAAAAGTGTACGCGTAGGCAAAAAAGCCAGCATTATCTTTGAACCAGCATAAGGACAATAATGCTAAGTGCGATTATCGTTACATCTTAACCCACATTTGATGCCAGTCGGCGAGAATCGATACACACGTGTATAGGCCGGCTCTCGATGCACATATCGTACACACGAGTCGCGCGATTTCGGCTGGAATTGAATTTCGGGGTGGGAGGGGACGCGAGCGAGCGCTACTTTTCCTCTTCCCCCCGGCGTCTCCTCGGCCTTGACACATTGTCGTTGTCCCTCGGGTGTCGCGCTTTCATATTCTCTTTCTGCCCCCCTGCGATTTCGCTTCCAGCACCAGCTCGTCCTTGATCCTCTGGCTATCTATCTCTTTATCTCTGATTCTCCGCTGGCCAAGATGTAGGTACACTTTCGGGTGCAGTCTAGCCCTGAGTTTGGCTGAGATCCATCCGGTGGCTGCACACACACACACACATACAAGGTACGTTGAACTCGAAAATTTCACGTACCGTGCAAGCGAGGGCGGAACGGAGCCCATGGGAGCTTTGAAATTTTAAAGAGAACACTCGGGCCGACACTGAATTATTCATGTGACTTGGGGCGGAGGGAGGGGGGGGTAGAGCTGTGCCGCTTGTGATAACGTTTTCGCCCATCGACCGCTACGTCGACGCTGCAGCCGATATGTCTACGAGCTCTGACTTTAGATCGGTGGCTTTTGCTATGTTCCATTTTTTTCCTAATGACAAATCATTGCTGCAACGGAGTGTTTGCATGTACAATGTGCTATTTGATTTTTTTCATGCCATATTGTCGTTCGACATCATTGTAAACAAAAATGTGTTTTTTCACTACAAGTAGATAAATGCTTGATATGGTCAGACATTATCGTCACAACATTGTCAAGGGAAGAAAAACAAAATTGGTTTCTTTCGTCAAATCGACGTGAACATGCTTTATGAATAAACTGTGCCATAATTTTGTTGTATCGTTACAATGTTGCAAACCCACTGAGTTTTGCACATTAATTTGCTGCGGTAGAGGTGATTGTGAGAAGAATCCACGTATAATATTTCAAGTGTAGCTGCTCTATACCTCCTAATCGGTAAAAATATAGGAGTACATCTGTAGGAGTTTTTGAGCACATGTTATGCTTAATCATCCGATTGTATCTCCATGCGACGATCGATAAAAGGTAATGAAGAGAGGAAAAAAAAAAACCGCGAGGGAGGAAGAAAACATCCGAGCTATATCAGCACTCAGCAGATGTCCAGCCGTAAACGTACACAATAACAGTGGGAGGAGACGTAAGCGGTTACTTATCAGAGTATCGATAAGAAAGGAAAAAAAAGGCAACGAAGAGACAGAGCTTAAGCAGAGGCGTAAACGTGAGAAACCGAAAGCTCGAAAAGCTCCAGCCATCGGATCCTTACGTAATCACCCATATCAATAAGCATAGAAATATGCATGTGCGAGCGATGAGCCAGCACTGGATGCGATGTGTCACCATGTGATACAGGCAATATAGATAAATCAAAACCTTCCGCTGCGCCGATACGACGCACAAGACCCCGTGTTTTACGCAGCAGCTGTGCTTGTTTGTCCTCTATCGATACCTACATTAACACACACATGTATATATTACATCTCTCTCTCTCTCGGACGCACCGCTCTTTGTGTAAATATGAACGTTTATCATCGCATATTTTTCATTTTTCCACTATTCATCTCGTAGTTTCTCGTTTCGCTTCATTTCCCCCGGCATACAATGTTTCCCTCGTGTGATTGCGCGCGAGTGTAATTGATTGATTGCGCTCCCAATAATCGCGAGGGGAGAGTCGATTGATTTCTCATGAGTCTCTCGTTGATTGTTTATAACCATACACCGTATTTTTTGGGGCCGAGCGATAAATCCTTTGTGTGTATCGTACGAGGCATCGCAGGCGAGAGTCTCGGTTTCCATATCGATTTTTTGCTCCCGGTTTATTTCGAGGCATCCGAGGGGAGGAGGGAAAAAAAAAAAAATGAACCAAGAGTGCGATCTGTTTTTTGTGTACGCGATCGAGGGAGGAGAGGAGCGCGTGTACGAGCGCCTATATACCCGCGCACATGCCAGCGAGTTTAATTATATCCGCGCTCCTTACCATATGGGAAGAACGTGTGTGCCGCCCTCGAGACGCGGTGTACACGAGCATTCCAGTTATGCGATCGGGGATGAGTGACTTGCTGGATTATTAGCCTTTTTTTTTTTTTTTTCTTTTTCCCTTCCTCATGAAAGAGGCGAGATTTCGGGGAAGGCTATTTTTCGAGCTTC